TTTTAATATATCCCAAAGTGCCGAACACACGAATTCGTTGTTCATCAGACGAAATATATGGAACCACATCCTGGACTGAATACATGCGTCTGACCACGTTCCCATCAGGCGTCCACTCCCCGCGGGCCAGCGGTGCAGGTGACGGCGTGCCTCTGTTGGGCGACCTGGAGGGGGAGGCGCCGCCACCGCCCCCGCCCCCGACTGGAGAAGAGCCGCCGCCGCCCCCGCCCGCGGCGGAGGAGCAGCCGCCGCCGCCTCCTGAGGAGACGACTCTACCGGCAACGGCGGCCCCCGCCGCAACAATACAGGCGTGAGTGAGGCTGGGATTTCGGGCCAATGGGACGGCATTGCGGTATGGGGTGGGAAAGGGTGAGCTGGTTAGGGCGGCTTCAGGCTGGTAGTCGGTGATTTTCTGATGTTGGCACTTGCAGTCTCCGTCAATGTAATTTGCGTTAGAAGAAGAACCGTGATCTAGTTTGGATGAGCTACATGGCCCCACTCTTGTGCTCGTCTCTTTCCGTGTCACTATTGGTGATCAGTCTTGTCCAATTTGGTCTCCGCCGTCAGTGAGATCGAGGCGACTCCGCAGCGCGCTGGCGATGGGACGGTGCCACAGGCCGGGAGGCCCAGCCGCCGCCGGGCGCCGCCCGCCGCTGACGTCACCATCGAGGAGCCGCCCCCGCCCCCGCCCCCGCCCCCGCCCCAGCAACAGCCGCGGCGGTCAGCCGATGAAGAGGTGGGTCCATAGGCCGACTCCTGTCTCCTGAAGATCATTGGAACACCGAAGTCACACCAACGTCAATTGACGCCATAGAAATACCGAAAACTAAGCATATACCCAAACATCTGATCTGTCGGACACCTGACGACATGTGCAGCGCCAGCTGCTTTTATCACTGAATCTGACGTGTGCCCTGATCTCTCACATTACAGCCGAAATGTAATGCTACCAGCTGTATCCTGACGTGCACACTGAGATGATGTATGTACCCTGCCCTTTGACCTGACCTTTGACCTGCGACCCTCAGCGTCCGTCAGACTCCCTGCAGCTGCCGGAGATGCCTCCTCCGGCTCCGCCGGTGCGCCATGGTCGTCGGCGTCGTCTGGCAGTCGACTCTGCTATCGAGCTGGACAGGGAGGCCATTCGGCGCCGGATGGATGAGGGAGCGTACGACACACTCCGAGCGGCGGTGAGTGGCACTTTACCGTCTAAACACAGTGATAAAGCTATGCTTGTGGCTATTATACCTAATTGCTCTTCTTTCTCTGCTCCCGTGAATCCAATGTCGACTTATCCCCACACTATTGTCTCTCTTTTCCCCACAGACAGCCACTGAGGACAACGTGGAGGCACCCAGCGCGCGTCTGACTCCGGCAGCGGAGCTACTGCTACGGCCCGGCCGCCGGGTCGGCGGTCCCCTGGCCAGACTGCACCAGAGGCACTGCGTAACACGGCCCGAGCGGGACTGGTCCTGGCACGTCGACGAGGCGCAGGTGGGTTCGGATACTTGGCGCTTTGCTGCGAGGGTAGGCACTAATACACTTCACTGTATCGTTGAGGGTAGGCCCAGGTACTGATACACGATGCTGCCTGCCGCGCAGAATGTAGGCACTGATATAGGATGACGCGTCCCACGTGCACTGGCGGCATATCTTCTATCCATATCCATATATTTCATGTGATGCCTCACAAAGTGTTCACTAAGATAGTGGACTACCAAAAGTCACCGTCCCCCGTGTCTCCCAGGAGCCGGCCGTCGCGGAGCGGCGTCGGGAGCGGACCGTGGAGCCGGAGCCGCCGCAGCCGGAGGCACAGCGAGATCGGACGGGCACCATGAGCGGGTCTGGATCCCTGCTGTCTGCCTCCGACCTGCCCAGCGCCAGGTAAGAGAGCGGCACTGAACTCAGTTGACACAGGCGAGGGTGATACTGAGCTGCCTTTACCACGAGAGGGACAGGCTGGTCTTGCATAAGATGTCCTTACTATCCTGTCCCGAGCTGCACGCTGTTTAGCGTTGGGTCGACTAGGCAGGGTATACTCCGGAGGCATAGCGATGGGTTGTGAGGGTTGTGAGAGCCCATCGGGTACGGGTCGATGCTGAGACGCGAGCAGCTTCTCTGTGCAGGCTGCCATTGTCTAGCAATCGTCGGCCGGGATTGTCAGGTCCCACTCCCCTCTGACTCGCCCCACTCCCCTCTGACCTGTCCCACTCCCCTCTGACCCGTCCCACTCCCCTCTGACCTGTCCCACTCCCGCCTCTGACCGACCCACTCCCCTCTGACCTGTCCCACTCTCTCTGACCTCTTGCAGGTCGTCGGTTGGCCAGCAGCTCTCGTTTAGGGCTGGTGCGACCCCGTCGACCTCGGAAAACCTGCCCAGCATCACCGGTACGCGGAATCCAGCCCCTCTTTGCCCAGTGTTCCTTGTTAAGCTTATCCCGCCGGATGGTCTAGTGTCCATCTCATTCCTAATTACATCACTAAAACCCACTAAAACCGCTGTCTTTCCCAGACACGCATAATTTATGCGACATCATTTCGCTATATGTCGCTGGATCGTCGAACTTCATTGGGCTTCATTTGGCAGTCGTTTCGCCAGTAGGTTTAATACGTCACCCTATGACAACAATAGCCATCTGTAATAATATCGCCTGTTTCCTATCAGCCTGACCGGTGTCCTAGTGCCTCCGGAAATACGTGGGCCGTATTCACGGTCCTGTTTCTCTGGCCTGTCCCCGCTCTCTAAACCGCCTCTGTTCTCCGACTCTCCCGCAGTCTGACCTTCCCCATTCTCTGACTTCTGTCCGCTATCTCACTGACCTTTCCCGCTCTGTCCCATTGCAGAGGACCAGGAACAGACCCCGGGTGGCCGGCTCTCGACGCTGGCACCGGTGGTGGAGCACCTGGTTCCTCTAATGGAGCAGCTGGTTCCTCCCCCAGAGGAGCAGCAGATGGTTCACCCGCCCATAGAGGAGCAGCAGCTGGTTCACCCGCCCATAGAGGAGCAGCAGGTGGTTCAGCCGCCGATGGAAGAGCAGCAGGCTCCTTCAATGGAGCAGCAGGTCCCTCCAATGGAACAGCAGGTTCCTCCAATGGAGCAGCAGTTCATCCCCCCACCGATGGAGGAGCAGCAGATTCCTCCAATGGAACATCAGCAGTTCGTTCCCCCTACAATGGAGCAGCAACAAGCTCCTCCAATGGAACAGCAGCAGATCGTCCCCCCACCTATGGAGGAGCAGCTGATGCCGCCGCCTCCACCTCGAGACCAGCGGAGGCCGTCACCAGAGGAGCGCCGCGGACCGACCGCCGCCCCCGCGCCGGCTGATGTCGGTCAGTTATTGGAAAAACTGTCTGTCTAACAGAAAAGATTCGAGATCCTGTACAGAAGCTCATGAGTCTTCTTTACAAAATAAGCACTGTTCAGTGTTGATATTTGATCATGTATGTAGTTACATTTCACGACTGCAGCAATTATCCTTCAACTGTGCCGTAGTATAAATAATTATTCAGCCTTATAATTTACTTCTACAGAAATATTTGCTAATGTGGCCCGCTCTCCCTCTGCCGGACCCTCACTCCACTGACTGAGTCTCTCTGCGTCCGGCAGGCGCGGGTGACCGCAGCGGCTCCAGTGGACGGACCACGAGCAGTGAGGAGGCACCCCCCACCCAGAGTCCGCCCATGTATTACGGGTCAGTTCTGAGGTCGCACGTGGTGCTAGAGGGAGGGAGGAGAGAAGGAGAGGAAGAGAGGGGGAGGGAGAGAGAGAGAGACAGACATCAGACAGCAGAGAGAGACAGAGAGAGACAGACAGACAGACAGACAGACAGACAGACAGAGAGGGGGGAGGCCGGACGGTTAGGTGTTGCATTACGAATCTGTGGCACCTTGTGTGTTGAGCATTCTCGATTAGACGCAGCTCCGTTGTTTTGTCGGAATCGTAGTGATGGCACTACCTTGGTGCATTGGAGGGCCGAATTCGAGAGGCAGAGGCCGGAGCCTTGCTGATGCATCAGGGAGGCATCAGCGAGCTTATCGCACCTAAACACCATTGGTCATTACATCTAAATTTTACGGTAGGCTTATAGGACGTGTGTCGTAAACATTTTTGAAATCAAATTTTGTCACAAGAAGATCTTGCCATCTCATTTTCGCACGGATGCTGAGCATTAGTGCATGCCATCTTGCCCCCTATCCCCTCCCCCTCCCCCGCCGTATGTGCGGCGCTGTCCAGTGACACTGCCCGCGGGGCGGTAATGGTTGGGTGGCGTGCCGTCCCATTCAGCCTCGCTCCGACGGTGGTTGCCGTCCCACTGGGCCGCCGCCCGGACGGTGGGTGGCGTGCCGCCCATTCAGCCGCCCCGCTCCGACCACCTGTCGGTCTGATTACCCGTCTGTCGGTCGACGTGTCGGTGCCGACGACGGAAGCTGGAGCGCGCGTCGGCGCCGGTGCCAGGCGGCCTCTCGACGAGTCACCTTTGGGTGCTGGCAGGGTATGACCCTAGCCTGCGCAGTGCGCGTCGGCGCCGGTGCCAGGCGGCCTCTCGACGAGTCACCGTTGGGTGCTGGCAGGGTATGACCCTAGCCTGCGCAGTGCGCAAGGCACCGGTGCCAGACTTCCCACTCGACTAGTCTGGCAGGTGTCAGACGGCAGAGTATGACCCTAGCGCACGGCGACGGTGCCGTGCCTCATGCCACCGACGGATCGCAATCCGCAATCCCACGTGGCAGGGTATAATGGGTTTCAGCGACCGGCCCTGGCATATCATAAGACCGTCCTTTCCGCCTAGTGCCTCTTCCTGATATTTTATTTCCGGCAATGACAGCCCGCCAAACAACGATCACTGAATGTGGATATCTAAAGCTGTGATGGTTGTCAGCTTTATGCCCAAATGCCCATCCCAGTCACATTTCGTGGTGGTTCACGGATTTGCTGGTGGTCAGGCGTTATCGGGACGGCGGCCGCACTTTTGTCACCCCTAAGGTCGTCGTCCGTCTAACACGCACACTTCCCTGTGCGTGTCAGGAGGGCTGGTAAATTGACAGCGTAGGCGATGGCGGCCCGGCTGGCGAAATTAAAAATGTTTTGGACAGGTGTGTTTTTCAGTCCTGACAGACGTTCCCGTTTCCTGAGTATGACGACAGTATGCTCCATTTTAGGCGGTATCGGCACGTCGTAAAACCGGTTTCTCGGTCCCTATCGGGTTGGCTGCAAAGCTTCCCGGGCGGTTTTCCTGTAGTTGAGAACGACACAGTCTTGAGGACCAGTGTCCTGATTTTCGTGAATTTGGGTGGAAACCCACACCTAACAGATTCTCTTTGTGACGTCCCGGAAAGCCAAACGACGTCCCTGACAGATAAAAGTCGATAGGTATATCGAACACCAAAAGCAAACTAACAAAAGGAAATATCACCTCTGTAGCCTAAATACACGGCTATGCAAAATGACAATAAATATATCCTAAATCTTCACAAACCCACTCTTACACTCAACTCCCCTTTCCTGGCCAACTGCCGCAACAGTAAACAACGCGGTTTTATTTTATTTTTGTTTTCTGTGCGTCAGATATGGATAGGTTTTTTCCTTTACCAGGTGAAGGTAATGCTGCCATATGAAGGAGAAAAGATGTCGGAATAGAGGAATCTGAGGACGTCGTTTTCCACTTTTCAGTTTTAGTAACTGTGCGGTGTATAGATAAAAATTAATCATGCGAATATATTACGTGGACATTTAACTATAAGCACGCAACATACCTTTCGTATCAAATTACTGTAACATATTTAATTATTTTTTCCCCTCAGAATGTCACAGTAACGGGTTAGCGCTGCCCCTTGAACATGCCCTTCAAAAATAGTTAATTTTGCATATGTTGATAGTGGTTGGGGAAAAAGTTTGATGTTTATCTGTTTGAATTAGAATAAAGTTACCGAATTTCAACAGAATTAATTCAAGTATGTCGTCCTTGGCTTAAAAATACACGCAATGTTGGGGACGTCGATTGACCTTGTTATTCCCATTTAATCGACGTCGGTACAAAACTGAAAAGTGCACAATGATTTCACATTTTTTCCAGCCAAGAAAAATTCAGCGTCCACCTTGGAGTTTTCTTAATTGAATTTCATAACAGTAAGCTATGGAAATTATTTTTCCGAACTGTTTTCCACCTCATTGTTTGGACGTCTGCTTTTTTACATCAGTCCTCTTGCTCGATATGATATCCCTCTTATGACGTCAATATTTAGTGATAGCCGCTGGCTCTTGGGCTGATTTTTTTGAAGCATAGTTGTTGTTGACTGTTGTGTACGATCATGGACAAGAACTGGACATCTTCAAAGTGTTGTTTTGGTGTTTGTGGTGAATGCTTGAATTTTGTATTTTACTAGGGGTAAACTGGCATTACTTTGTGTCTATATATTGATATGATCATTTGAAGTGCCTTGAGGTGGTATTAGTCAATATTGCTAGTGAAAATCGCTAATTTTAAGAGATTTAGGTAATGGATCTTCAGTGGCTTAGGCTCCGCACCGATATCGACGTCCTTTTGAAATAGCGACGTCCTCGCGGCTTCAATCACACTCTCCGAAAAATCAATTTCAGGACACTGTTGAGGACACTGGGGGACAGCTTCGCTTATTGCATGCTTTCACTGAACATCGAGCTTGGTGTCCTATAACAGTTCAGTTCAAGCTACCTTTTTCGTGGTGTGTAACATTTATCATCTGTAATTGAATAAGTAGCAAATACCCTGGCAAATACCACTATTGCATAGAAAGAAATGTGTTTTAGTAAGGGACAAAAGTCACTTTTCCGTCATCAGAGAACAGCGCTCAAAATTGAGTCGTCAGCCAAGAATGGTTTTCCGCCTATATATCCATCTGCCGCTTCTAGTTACACACATTTATCCCATATGTTTTCATGGCACCGCGTAACGTCTGTCTCTGCCTCTTATGCCAAGCATTCTTACCCACTCTCGCTTGGCTCACTGTCGATTTCTATCTACGTTTCTGTGTTACCTCGTGTTCCTTCGCCACGTCCTCACGTGTGTCCTGTGTCCTCCCGGCCCCGCTCCGGCTCCTGTCTGTGACGGCGCTGCTCAGCTCGGCCAGTCAGTTCCGCTCTGCCAGTCTGGTACCGGAGGACGTACCCAACTGGCTGAGCCGCTGGGCGCCCGCCGGCCCGCTGTCGTTCTCTCAGCTGGCGCCTCCGTCAACGACCAGCGCGCAGCAGGCGGCGGCTACGTTCGCGCACCTGCTGCAACTGCACGCGGAGAGGGCCGTTGTGCTGAGCCAGGACGAGCCCTACGGCGAGATAACCGTCAGGGCCCTCCTGTAGTGGCAGAGAACGCCGCCCGGCGTCGTGCGCTCGACCTGACGTGTGACGTTCGTTGTTGCGCGTCAGTCTCAGGGCGAAAGAGATCGAGAGAGTGGCCGGCTTGGCGCGACGCTACACCGTCCTCGAGGAACGGTAGTGATGCTGCCATTGGTGTGACGAGTTGGGCGCGTGTTTGACGTCCTATTTTACTGGTGTTTAATGTTACTGGTTTGTGTTGTCAGTTGTATGTTGAACGTATTTATTGCTTTATTCATGATTGTCATATGTCGTGCTTTGTTGCCGACATTTTATGAAGTCGTTATGTACTGCCAGTCAAATCAATTTCTTGTAGGTGGACAATCGTAAGGTGTTACTCAGGGTACAATATGCTTCATGACAGTATTATCACAGTAGATTTTATGAATTCATAATATGTTTCACTTGCACATCAAAATAAGATATCAAGATTTGACCATCTGCAATACCATAAAGCGTGCTATTGTTCATCATTGTTCATCATTGTTCATCATGACATCGCTAAACACAGAATACACATTTCATCTACAAATGTGTTTCAAAGGGAAATTTATGCGTCCTAGTTGACCGTACAAGCATGAGCGCTGTAACGATCGGATGAAAATTGCCGCAGCTCTTCAGTCTCTTGCCAGTTTTGTGATGATACATATTTAAAAAAATAATACTACTTTTTCAAAACATGTATTAATCACTTAATGTTTTATAACCCCAGACAGCCGTGACTAGCACTCACTCTCCAGCTTGTCACTTTGTGGAATGGCGACTGACTGCCAGCAGGAGAGACCGCGCGACGATAAATGGTCTGAGACACGGCCCTGTCTATAGGAGACGCCGGGAGGGTAATGTGGGATCAACCATATACCCTGGGATCAGGGATCAGCCCACACATCTGCCTCGACAGGGACCGGGCTCCATAGCCGCGTCACGTTCAGCCAGCCACGGAAATAATTACGATCAGCAACAAACAAATTCTGAACCGATACAGGATTTTACCAGTTCCTCTTTTTCGTTAAAACTCTATAAATGCAGTCCTGGAAGGCGTAACAAAGTCGATACCGTGAAATTAATCTCTGAAAGACCGTGGGATGGGGTGGTGAAGCCCATATAGTCGGTGACAGAAATTTCCTAAAAGTATCGGAAACCCTTTGGACTGGCCAAGGGCTTCTGCATATTTGATGGTCGTTGGTTCTCTGGTAGATCCATTTCCATTTCAGGTGGAAAGTGCGTTCCCTTGTACGCCGGCCAGATATCTCTTTATCTGCAGTATAGGCACCGGAGGGTGGCAGGAAGTCATCTACATCAACGCTCACATTTGCCCGGTATCGATCGTTTCAAGCCATGAAAACATGTCTTTTTGAAAAAAAACTATTGAGTTAAATAGATGGGGCTAGCTCGTAACTTGGAACTATTGGCCAAGGTCATTGGATGAGGTCGGCTGACTTCTGATAAAACTATTTACCCATGATGACAGACTAACTCATTTCGAGAACGTAGCCTTCCATTGCAGCCTACCTGCTGACCGAAACTCGATTCGTCAAAAGTTCCATTAGTAAGCAGCAGAACTGTTGCCGGAAATCTTATTCGACCAAAGACTGTAAAGTTTATGCATGCTGTCGTGCAAGTTACGGGATTGGGTTCGATTGGGGGCGTCCACCTCCGGCAGTTTTCATCAGCCGTCGGTGCGATGTGCGGGAGCTGTTCACGTTCAGATCCTGTCTGTTGTCGCTGAAATATGGCAATCGAAGCAGAATGGCTAATTCGCGAAAAGCGGAAGCTGCCGCATTTCCGTCTCGCCGCGCGTCCGGCCACCATCACCATGCATCCTCTGTGCTCGAATCGCAATCCATACACCCGTGAACGCTACACTTGCACACAGGAAACGCTACGTTTGTGTTAAATTGGCAGAAGAATTCGTGCTAAAAGTTTAGACCCGAGTCGTGGCTCAACTTAAGCCATAGCCGTAACTTTACTCTGCAGCGTTTGTCCATGTCGCCCTCGTCCAGCATTAGACGGCGGGGGTATTGTTTGGAAAATGGAGAGCGGGAAGCTTCTGCGACGATTTTGTTGACATTGGGACGTTTTGTGCATCGGGTGTTGTAAACGGTGGTGTCTGTTTTTATTTTAGCTCGGCTGGCAGTCTCGCCCCCGGACTCGCGTGACCCATCCCAAATGTATACTGTGAGTGATGAACTGAATCCGGTTGCAGACAGTAGATAAAGCCAATGCATCTGGATATAGTCCTCTGTACCAGTCGGTGTGTCTTCCGTCGACTAATATTAGTTCAAATATTTATTCACGTCACGATTTTATTGCTCATGATGTCGCAGCTTAGCAGCGAGTTCCCTTTTGTCAGTGCCATCCAGCTTCAACTGCAATACGTCAAAACTGTTCTTGTTATCTGTCACATTGTAGGATCTCTGGCTCGACGCCCTTGCAATAGATTTTGATCGAAGAGACGTCCTGAAGCTTGTGTTATTTATTCCTTCCTGTCTAAATCAAAGCACATCAGTTCCTCCACTGGCGGCTCAGTCACAAATTTCTGTTCGGGACTCGGGTGATCATTGCGACATTACGGCAAACGGGCAAGCTAATGTTTCTTCCTTTGGGGTAACTGAATATTCAGCGCGCTGGCCACACCCGCCAATGTTTCGGCCCATCCGAGCTATACCCATTAGGTTGGTACCCACTGTCGAAGCTGGAGCTTCTGGAATCTGATTTCCTACTCTTTTCGTTCATGATGACATCTTGCAGCATAGCGGCTGCAACAGAGCAAATACAGATAAACCACACTTGTCATTCCTCTACACTGGTACATACGTTCCCCTTGCCTCCAACGTTTAACCCGCGCCGGGCGGCCGGTGCTCTGAGATTCCGCGGCGGGTCGGGGGGGGGGGGGGTGTCTGAACACCCCCCTTCTAACTCAGCTCCTGGGCCACGTAGCGACACGCGGTAAGCGGTAATTGAAAGAACGTCCAAAATAAAGACGAAAACACTTCGGTCATTTTTTGGGTCAGGTCAAAGGTCAGGTCACCAGAGGTCACCAAAGGTAAAATGTTGACTATTTCAGTATTCAGAGCGGCGGCTTCCGCTTTCAACATTTTGGAAACTGCCAAAGGCTATCTCTAGAACCGATAGAGCTACAGCGCCGCGGAAAAGTGCATTCGATAGCCCTTTTACAGACCTTTCTGGGTAATGTTCTCAGATTTGACCTCAGGTCAACGGTTTAGCCTCCAGAGGGCAAAAACTCCAAAAATAGCCGTTTTTACGAAAAGCGCTTTTTCGGCAATAACTTCTGATTCAAAGGAGCCATGACATTACTTTTGCTAGCATCGTGTTCCTCTCGTCGAGACGCGTCGAATGAACTATAATTTGACCTTGAAAGGTCAACTTGAAAATTTGACCTCAGGTCAAGGTCATGACCTGACCGGAAAAGGTCATGTTGCATATCAGTCGATCCGCAACGTCGAGCCGAACACGTCTAAGGCGTTTTCAGCGCTCTAGCACGCCTCTATCAGAAGTTATTAGCGAAAAACTGTCAGATTCTGTTCGTGACCTGAGATGACCTCGGGAACATAACGAGGGGTCACAGTTGCCATTTTCCGGTTCAATGTATCAATTTTACCTACATCTCGATGTTTGAGGGTGTCTAGAATGACGTTCGTGCAAAACAGACGCTTTTCAATTTTCTCCCATTGATTTATAATGGAGAGGCCGCAAAATTGACCTGACCTTAGGTCACCGATATCAAAATTCTGAGATATACATTTTGTAAATATCGTTGCTCTAATTAGGTAATCGCTGAAAGTTTCAAGGCAATCAATCAATCGGTGTAGCTATGACGAGCATTCTTATTTTTTTCTGAGGTGAGGTCACTTGGCGTGACCTGGTAACCTGACCTAAGGCGACCTGGGTCTGAAATTTTTAAAACATGTGCGGAAAAGATGCACGAACAGGTTTGCCAAAAACGGCGGCGCTCCGCGATCTGCGAAAAACCGCAGGGGGGTGTTCAAACACCCCCCCCCCCCGGCCCGGCGCGGGTTAAATTTCGTGTTGATTGGCTTCAGCAGCTCATACTTTCCCTCTCCTCGCCTCTCCCCGGCGCGGGCGGTGGCCTCGCTGCCGGGGTGCTCAGAGCTCTTCCGGGTGACACCAGTTACCACTCCGCCCCCTCCGGTCACAGCTAGCTACCTCCCCCTCTCTCTCCCCCCACACACCGGACCTCGCTACCCACGGATCAGATTGCACTAACGTTGAGTCTAACACGGGGCTTACCGCTGCTACTGTTTTGGCTGATTTTAGCGCTGGCAGACCGGCGCGGCCGTCATTAGATTTCAGACTTGGTACGCCCGGCCATCTCGCTCCCCCTGTGCCGTACGCTAGACCCAACCACGCACTCCCCCCCCCCCCCCCCCCCCCCCCCCCCAGCAGACTGCGCAGCACATACAGACAGGCACACAGACAGACAGACAGACAGACAGACAGACAGACAGACCAGCCGCCCGCCCGCCGAGCTGACCCGTCCGGCATCCCGATTGTTTATACTTCACTGAGAGCTGTTGATTGTCGAGGGTGGCTGCCGTCGCGCGTCGTACCGGCTGGTCGTCGCCGGTGTCCGCCCCCGCCCCCGCCCCCGCCCCCGCCCCCGCCCCCGCCCGTCGGTGTCGGCGGTGCGACCGTCTGGAGCGGACGGGGCCGGCCGGTGCCAGCTGGAGTGCAGTCGGCGCTGGACGGTGACTGGCAGCGGGGCCGAGTGGGGACGTGTGCCGCGCGCAGGTCGCCGGCCTAACTGCGAGTGAGGACCGAGCGGGAAACTAAGGACTGAGGTCTGGCAACCGAACGGAGAGCTGAAAATCGGGAACCAAGTGGAAAACTGAGAACTGAGTGGAGGACCGGGTCCCGAGTAAGGATTGTGCGAATTGAGGACCGAGCGAGAAACTTTGGACTGTGCGGAGGACTGAGGACTTAAGACCGAACGGAGAATTGAGGACTCGGTGGAAAACTGAGGATCGAGAACCTGCTGGACTGAGTTGCCAGTCACGGGGACTGAAGACTAGAACACTGAGGATCGGACGGAGAACAGAGGACTGAACCGAGGAAGGTCGAGGAGTGGAAGGTCTGCGGATACGGTTGGTACTTCGTACATACATACGGCACATTCTATCGTTACACAAGGGCATGCATTTATTTTGGATTGATTGGTTGATATTGGTTGAGTGTTTTTTACTTGGTTTCGTTCAGCAGCGAACATCAGTCTTAGTGCCATGTCTGATGTCGCGCCTCTGACGATATTTGCTTTTTATATTTATGTATATGGCTATTAGTTACGCAACTTGTTTGGCACATACGCGTCTGATTAATGTCAACAAGTGGGCGAGTACTGCGAAATGTCACCTGATGGTCGTCATCTGTCAGTAATTCTTTGGCGCGTGCGGGTACCCTACCGTCCTAAACTGCGTTGAGGAAGATTGATAAACAGGTGCCGCGCTCATTAACAAATTGGACTCCTAATTCTAGACTGATAGCTTTGTGGAA